TTTTCCTTCTTAGCATCAATCACGAATGCTAGATACGATGTACATCCCTTGGCCAAACACTTTCTGGCTTTCATTAGCGAAACGATTCCAGAATTTGCTCTGCGTTTGTCCCCATACACCATAAATGACTCTTTCCCTGGTGGGTTTACTTTTACTATCTTCTTCTTGCATAAAATCTCGGCATCGTTGGCGCTAAGCCAATCCATTCCCAACACGATGTCGAAACCATTAAGTTCGATAGGCAATAATTCTCGTGAAACTTATTCCCATTCAAGTCAATTAAGATGTTTTTCATACGATGGCTAACAGGTACAAACTTGCCACTAGCAACTTTGACTAATAAAGCATTATCTAGTCTATCGACAGGCAAAGCTAGTTTTCTACCAAATTCATGAGATATAAAGGAGTAGTTGGCTCCAGAATCAAATAAAATTTGAGCAGGTAATTTGTTTACGAGAAAGGTACCTGAAGCGACATCAGCTTCATCCTTCGCAGCTTCCAGTGTCATCTGAAAGGCTCTCGCCTTCGGCTTTGGTAGAATGTTGGGCCTAGCTGCCTCCTTCATCTTCGGACAGTCTTTCAAAATGTGCCCCTCTTCATTACAACCAAAACACATCCTTTTGTTGGACGGACACTCATTGGCAAAATGCCCAGTTTTTCCACACTTGTAGCAAGTTACATCATCACTACATTTCCCAAAGTGTTTTTTCTTACACTTATCACACCATTTTGCTTTGCCTCCTTTTCCTCCAAACTTCTTCGAAGTAGACTTCAAAAATTTACTTTTCTTATTGGAACCTGAAGTTCCTTCAAACTTTCTCTTCTCGCCAACTTCAACCTTGCTGGCGGTTCTTCCCCTTGATCATATCCTCAACAGACTTGGCAACGCAAATAGCTGCCTCCAGAGTAGGTGCCTGACGAACTGGCGCTGCGTACTCCCATGGGAGTCCCTTTGCGTACCGGTCAACTTTAGTCAGCTCGTCTGGGACGATGCGCAAAGCAAACTCCATCTTGTCTGTGAAGTTATTAGTGTATTCATCAACTGACATGCTGCCTTTCGTCAATGTCAGAAACTTGTTTTCCAACTCCAACAGATTTTGAGCCGAGCAGAACTTGCGCTTGAACTGCACCAAAAATTCTGCCCAAGTCAATTGCAGTGGCTCGTTAGGGCTTAGGGTTTCCCCAGAGTGTTCCACCAACGAACAGCTCGTTAGGGCTTAGGATTTTCCCCAGAGTGTTCCACCAACGGCCAGAAAAGACCGGTTAAATTTATGCTTTTAAAACAATTTCAGAGTAATCATTTGATTTAAAAGAGTTGCGGAATTTGTTCCCAAAACGAAATATGATAAAATAAGATTTACCAAAGCATTTCATAAAGAAATGTATTTTCATTGTATAACAAAACTCGGGATGTCATGTTCCGATAAACAGACCAAAAGCATAAACATTACAATACAGACCTTACAACAGTTATATATATAACAGCAGGTCTATAATCCAAAAATAACTTGACAAGTCATCCAACTTATGCTCTGGTGCCACTACCTGTAATACAAAGAAAACTGAGTGGGTCAGGCTTGGGAGCCTGGTGAGCATATAGGGTTTTCAACCCACAATAAATAATTATATTTAATTCCACCAACCAACAATAACCCAATTACCCATTCCCGTTATTCTCACTTTACGTCCCTAAGACAACTAACATAAGGGACCTAGTCTAAGAATATTTCATCGGGGCGACAACACATGCATTCGGGGGTTTCCCAGCAATATATGTCAAATAAGGCAACCATGAGGGGGATGGAGTACAGCGAATGAACACCCAAGTTCATTAACACCTACAGGTGGCGAGCCTTCTAGCGTTCCACAGGACTGTCTAGAAAAGTCTGTGGTCGTCATCTAAACTCTGCTAGATGACTAAATCAAAAACATCGAGGCCTCTCATCTTTTTATCACAAGACAACTATCTACCCATGTTCTACACAACATTTTAGTAGATAAAATATACATTTTTATACATAATTTAAAACTTGCATAGTATGTTCATTCAAAACACATTCCAGATAAAAGATGAGACACATAAACATAACACGTATTTCATAGAGAATAAATCATATCTATGAGATTAGAAGATAACATCGATACACTCACATAACACATATACTTAGTACGTTAAATTGATACTTGTATAAAATCGTGCATTTAAAAGAGATTATGTACCCCCTTCAAATCAACACCAATATATAAACACATAACACGTATTTCATAGTAAATACTTCGTATTTATGTATTAGAAGAAAGTGACTACACACTCACTTGATCAGAAGATGATCGGATAGCACTACGGCTTGTAGAAGTAGTATTCTTCGGTGAAACCGGGATCACTTCACACACCGGGCTTCTCGCGGGCAGAGCTTCGGCTCGGAAACTCTTTTCTTCTCGGGATCTTCGGGCTTCGGGACTTGCTTCGGGTCTCGGGATGAACACCGGGGCTTCGGGGGTTAAAATAGGGCTTAGAGAGAGTATCGGGAGTGGGAGAGAAGAGATGGAGCAACCATAATCGGCTGACCCTTGATTTCTATTTATAGGTTGAGATTTCAGGGTTCACGTCATGGGGCTTGATCGGCATTGCATGCGTCATCACAAGTGGGGTCTGACAGAGTCCAGGTGACGTTTTTCTGAGTTCACGTCGTGAACACAGTGTTCATGTCGTGAGTTCTGACACAGGATCAGATTTTGTGCCCCGAACTTCAGAAATTGATATCTTTCGCATACGAGCTCCGTTTTCGACGTTCTTTATATGCACGCGTAGGTGAGATTATGCTCTACAACTCTCGTTTAGACTCCGTCGGCTAATTTTGACTTTATTTTTATTATATTTTTATTATATTATTTTTAGTAGGCCGGGACAGGAAAACTCCGTTAAAATTCATAACTTCTTCATCCGACGTCCGTTTTCGTCTGTATTTTTACCGTTGGACTACTATCGACGAGATCTTCGATTCTCGTTTAGATTGTTTCGGCTATAAACCGCTCGATCTCAAATCGAGTATTCGGGCTGCATACCGCTAAGTCGAAACTTCGGAAAATCATAACTTCCTCATACGAAGTCAGATTTGGGCGTTCTTTTTATGCACGCTCTCGGTTTAACGAACTCTACAACTTCCGTTTAGATCACTAAGGCTAGATATCGCTATATCTTAAATTCATATTTTACGTCATTCAACGTCGTGCCAGTTCTGTCGCGAAACTTCGACAAGTCATAACTTCTTCGTTATAACTCGGATTTCGACGTTCTTTATATCTCCGGAATCCTTGTTTCAACCACTACAACTTTATGTAAAGATATCGGGTTTATCTTACACTTTAATTTTGACGCTTATTTTATTCTTAATTCAATTAAGCCACACAACTAAGCATAAAACACATAATACTCAAATATTTCATCATTAATACTTCAAAAGAGTTACAAAGGTTAACCTAGACTTATTACATCAACAATAATGCCTAGCCTGGAAACGCGGGCGTTACACTAAGGGAGTCTGGAGTCGTATAATTGATTCTATAAATTATTTTCATGGCACGAGGGATCCTTCTTAGTTCAGTTATGACGAGACAAGTTGGCGATGGATCTACCATTTTTTTTTTGGAAAGATTCTTGGTTGGGGGAGGATTCTTTGCTCACTAGATTCCATGGACTTTGTATTCTCAAAAATAATAGGGATTGTTTGGTGAAATATAGATGGAATGGTAGGATGTGGAGCTGGAACTGGTGACATCAGATCACGTGAGGGACTGAGTTGAGACTGTTTCGGGAGCTTAAGGAGTTTCTCAATTCAGTCCAGATTACAGACCAAACTGATAGTTGGAATTGAAACTTGGGAATAATCTGATTTTTATAGTCAATGAAACACGTAAGTATATTGATGATGTCACTTTGCCACATTCTAATATTTCTACTCGTTGGAACATGTGTATCTCCAGAAAAACTTATTACTTTTTGTTGGAGACTTCAGTTTGGATAGACTTCCAATTTTCTCAAACTTGGCTCATAGAGGTGTTGACTTGAACTCGTCTTTATGTCTAAGTTGTATGCAATTTCTGGAAACAAACAATCATACGTTTAGTGGGCCGATTTGAACATTCCTTTGTTTTCAACTGTGGAAGACATTTTTGGATGGGTGGATACATGAAATATTCAAGCTTGTAAAAGGCTTGTTTTGGATTCTATCATTATGGCGTTATTATCGGTGATCTAGAGATATCGTAATAATATCATTTTTGATGATAAAAAAAATACCAGTACGTGTTGTTTGGTATGATTCAAAGTTGGTTGTTTCAATGGATCATGTATAGAAATAATAACATAATTCTTAGTTGGATTTCTTGATTAAATGAAAAGGACCCAGTGAGGTTTGCAGCCATAATATATTAATATACAAGTCTCAGTTAATATTAACGTCCAGTTTAAAAACACATACATCGGTTTCGTGGTGTAGTTGGTTATCACGTTAGTCTAACACACTGAAGGTCTCCGGTTTGAACCTGGGCGAAGCCATTTGTTTTTCTCCTTTACTTTTTTTTCGGTTCCTTTTTACTTATTTAATTTTCTTGGGATAACATAGTCAACGGTTTCGTGGTGTAGTTGGTTATCACGTCAGTCTAACACACTGAAGGTCTCCGGTTCGAACCCGGGCGAAGCCATTTACCTGATCAATTTTTCCGGTTCACACCCGGTTAGTCATTTCTTTGTTTTTTATTTTTTCCGTGTTCTTTTAAGTTATTTAGATTTTGTGGGTATCATATTCATCGGTTTCGTGGTGTAGTTGGTTATCACGTCAGTCTAACACACTGAAGGTCTCCGGTTCGAACCCGGGCGAAGCCATTTTTTCCTTTTATTTTTTTGGCGGCTTGATTGAAAAGCAGCCAGCAAGGGGGACCCACCATTTTCACTTTCAGAGTTGTACTGTATAACACAGTGAACGACAGTGCCAACATTCGCCCTGAAGAATGGCTATCAAATTCCCTCTTTTTGACTCGATGTTTGTCTTTCTCTAACCCTTTTTTCCACCGAAAATTTCCCTCTTTTTATTTATTCCTTTTTATTAAAATTAAACACTTCAAAACCAATAGTGGGATTTCGTTAACAAAAACCCTTTGCTTTACCCTTCTCATCGCTTCACTACCCTCTTCATCGCCGTTTTCATCAAGTGATACATAAAAGGCAAGGACTTTTGTTAGGTAATCATGATTTCTGTTTATAGAAGTTTAAAATCTTACTGAAATTTGAGCTGGGTATGTTTTGTTTAAGGATTTTGATTATCTAAACTTGATGGGTAATTCTCGTATGGTGAAGGTTATAAGTTTTTTTTATTAGTATTATTCAGGTTTCGAATGCTTATGAGCTGAGTTATTGACTGAATTTTGAATTAGTATGTTTGATTTTGGGAAATTTGTTCTTCTAGTGTTCTTTGATGACTTTTCCTGATGAGATTTTATAATTTTAGTTAGAAATGTTTGTAGGTTTGAGATTAATTGTTCATGTAAAAATGATCTATGTGTATTCATATGCCAAATGTTTATGAGGTTTAAAACTTTGATTTTTAACTAATGGTTGTGTCCTTGTGTGTTAAATTCTCAGAAATTTTGTTCCTTTTAGATCGATCTCATTGGTGTCTATGTGTTTATGTATGTAATTCAAGGTGTTTTCTGATGAAATATAGCGACTTTTATGTAAAATCTTTATGTGTGTTTTCTTGTATGTTTCGATTATCTATTGGATGTGTTTCTTTAAAATGATTATTCCCACTGCAAGATTTAGAATCCGATAATTATGTGTTTAGGGTTAGGGGTAGTTAAGTAAGTTTATATGTATTGCAATAATAAGTTTCTTTACCCATTGTAGGTTTGGAAAATAGCAGGAAAGATTATATTAATTTATAAAAGAAAACCAAAAATGGGAGGTTGCTGTTCTTCATCTCGGAAATTCCAATTCCAAGGAACCCCTGTCTATTACTACGTATGGATGTTTTCTCTTTTCTTTATACTTCAAAAAGGCACAAATGTCACCATTTTATCTGATTTAGTCACTGAATATTTTACTTTTAGGGATTTAGCCACTAAAAGAGTAGTTAAGTGGCTAAATCCATAAATAACCACATCGTGTTTTTCTATATCTGAAAATGGTTTTTAAAATGGTAAAAAAACGGAGTCATGGTTTAATCACTGTTCCATTCCACAACTAGTTTGGTTGCCAAACTAACGGAATTGAGTTCCGGGAGATTGCATAAAAAATCCACGTTTGACGATTTTACCATTCGAGATGAGGAATTCAATTCCATTATTTCTTTTTTCTTTTATATATATATATATATATATATATATATATATATATATATATATATATATATATATATATTGAAATAAATAAAAACTAAAAAAGATTAATTACAAGTGAAAGTTTTAAAATTATTCAATAGTTATTATTGATTTCCTTTTTGCAATTCCTTTGAAAAATTACATTCCTTTCAAAATCATTTTGCGAATCAAATGTTAAATTCTACTAAAAGACCATTCTTTTTACTCCAATTGTAGTGTCCACCACCTTTAGAGCAAAGTGAAACGTCATCACCCCACAATGGTCCATTTCCTGGGAGACTACATATCGATGTAAATCTTGACATGTCAATTCCGGACACTTATCGATCTCCGCCAACACCGATTCCATTCGATGTGGTCTTAGGAATTCCACAATCAACAAACACCGGCCTTGACGACCAAGCCTTTTGTGATCTTGCTTATCAGAAACCGATTCCGATTCCGATTCCGGTGAATGTTAAGGAATTAGACCGTGAAGCCGAGGGTGACACCCCTTTTGTCGGGTCCACAAAGAATATTGATGTTGGATTTCAAATATCGAAAGGTCTTGATGGTTCGAAAGTAGAAGAGGAGGATGTTTGTCCCACTTGTTTTGAAGGTATATTGACTTTGACTTTTTAGGTCAAACTAGTATTCACTCTGTTCCATATTACTAAAATCCATTTTTAATCCGGAAATTTCAAGACTGAATCCCACAGCCTTCAACCTTGGGGGTGGCCTGCTGTTAAAAAAGTTGAAAAAAATATGTATATCGTTTTTTTTCATCTCAAAAATGGAGCTTGCTGATTTTCAAAGTCAAAGAGTAATAGGTTTGACTCTTGAAAGCCAAAATGGTTTTCAATTTTGGGACAAAGGTTGTGTTTTTAGGGTTAAATTCAAGAAACAACGATGTAGTTCTCTTGATTTGTTTATTATAGCATCCTACTATTGATTACTCCTATTACAATGTTAGACTTTGAAAAATCTACTGAATTATAGCAATGTCATCCAAATACAAAAAAATTTTGGAAAAAAATCGAAGATTAATGTTCTAATTATAAAGAAATATGAAGTATAATACTATAATTGAGTAGATTTTTCAAAGTATATTGTCTTGATAAGAAAAAAAATCATATGTATAGGTATAGAAAGAAATAAAATCAGGATGCTATAATACACAAATAGATGAAAGTATATTGCTATTTCTTAAAATTTTAAAGTTGATCATCGGGTGAATTTGATCTCAAACATTGATGATATGCAGAGTATGATGAAGAGAATCCAAGAATTATAACGAAATGTAACCATCAATTTCACCTTTCGTGCATTCTCGAGTGGATGGAAAGAAATCATACTTGCCCATTTTGCAGTCAGGTATTGTCACTTTTAAAATTAGAATCAGATAATCATTTTATTAAAAAAAATTATATAAACCCACATATGTTAAACACATTCATTTTTTTTTTCAATGTAAACCATGAAAGCATTATAGCTATTTCAACTTTTAGCATAATTAATCATATAAATTTATACATAAACTACATCGCTTTGAGTATTTCAGTTCGGTTCACGACTTCATGTTTCTTGAATATTTTTTATTCAGACAACACTTTATCTAGAAAAAACCAACACTAACCGACTAATAATAAAATGTGACTTTCTTATATCAGGAAATGGACTTTGAAGTTCTATAGAAGCACTCGTTAAAAAAGAAATGTTCAAAGCAATTCTCCTTCACCATTGAAGGTTGCTAGATTGGTCATGAAGATTTGTGTACTTAGGTTATCATAGTTGTTTCTACCATTTGGTAGAGATTAAATAAGCGTTTAGTTTTATCCTCATACAACTGAAGAGGCTAAAACTGAACGCTTACTTAATCTGTATCAATATTTATGGATTGGCTATGTAAATTAGTCGCTGCGTGTTATTGGCTTATGTATGTAAATGATGTGCACAAGTTAAGTTGTAGTAATGTGATCCTTCATAACTACAATTTTTATTGCACGATGTATGAATTACTATAAGCAAGATTTTGGTCAACTACTTATTTGACTTGTAATGACCTTTGAAAAAGAACTTGGTAACGAAAAAATATATATAAAAAATTGATCTTGAACGAAGTTTGTATTGGTGTGTAAAATTTGGTTAAAGCTTAGTAGAACAAGGGACCATTTTAGAAAGAGCATTTTCATTGTACATTGAAAATGAAAGAAAAATAATACAGATGGACTAAAACTGCATGGCGCAAGTTTTGAAGTGGCAGTTTTACAATGAACAAAAACTTCTTTTGACATGACTAAATATAAATCAATAAAAATAACTCTTATTTTATTCTGTATACGAACAATTTATAACCTTATACGTTAATATTATAAAAAAAATCTTATTTTTTATATTCTTTCTATTTATACCTGAACTTTTTTGATTATTCTTAAAAAACCCCATATTTTCTTTTAAAATTTTCATTATCTCCATTTTAAGAAGTTTACCGGTAATCTTCTTGTAATTGATAATTTGGAGACTTCGTGCTTTTTAATTTGAAAACTAAAGGTTCTATGTTTGCTAATTTGGATAAAATTATATAACAAATGGTTTCGTGTAAGCTAACTTGGAGACTAAAGGTTTCGCATATGCTAACTTGGATGCAATCGTATCACAAATGATTTTGCATATGCTATTTTGAAGATTGAATGTTCTACTTCTATGTTTGCTAACCAAAGGTTTTGTGTCTGCCAACTTGAAAATAAAAAAGAATATAATGTCTAAGGAATTTGTTGACTCTGTTGTTATTATGTGGCTATTGATCGGAAAATCGAATCTCAAAAAATCTAATGAGGTTATTACAGATTAAATCATATGAAAGCTGAATTTTGATTTCCAAACATATATGGACTTCGAGGGATATCTTTATGTTGATTTTGAAAACAATCTATAATATCTTGTCATTCTAGATCATTGTTCTTCACCAACAACAATCTTTTAGCATCCTGCAAATCAGCTGTGATATGTATTTTGTCAACAAGAATTAGACACAACAGTTTCTCTCTTTGTTCCGAAAATAATCTAATGTTTACCTTAAGTTTTAATATTGAAACCACCGAGAACGCCATAAACAAGAACATGTGGATTATAAATAATGTTAATGAATTATCATGTGATATAAATATGAGATTTACTATTAAGTTTTTGACGAGTCGCCCTTCTAGCAGTTTATTTTATCGTTAATCTCACAAAGGTTTTGGGTACCTAGGTGTTGTAGGCAGGAAAAAAACCTAAATTTAATACATTAATTAAGTAAAAATATCATGTTTAATCTATAATAACTCGAGCACATGTGGTCATGGGCGGAGCCACATGAGAGTCAGGGTAGCCCATGCCCACCCTCAAATTCTCAAAAATAATTTTTCTTATATATATATATATATATATATATATATATATATATATATATATATATATATATATATATTCTAATTAATTTATAAGGAAAACTCATTTGTCTCACGAAATCAGCTAAGAACACAGCTAACTGTCACGCAGACGATGCAACGACCCACATATTCAATCAAACAGGGACCCCCTTGAGTCTAACCTCAAAATTGGTCCAAAAGTCAAACCACATCAACAAGGTTAAAGTCAACGCTCAACTCCTCCATCAGTTGACCCTCACGTCGTGACCAACCCATGGTCACGTCGTAAGAAACGAGCTCAACCTGGTCCCAACTCAGTCACGATTCCACAATCTCAGCACGACTTAATCTCGATCCAACCCGTCGTCACGTCCTAACATATTGGTCACCACATCGACAGAGAACAGTCCAAAATAATCGGGGGAAACCCTAGTCCTCACGTCGTGACAGTAAGGGTGTCACATCGTGAAAACTATACATTCCAACTTAATGGATTAAGCCATTTTCCATCGATTCCACAAGCTCTAATTCTCAGATCTGATTCGCCCTAAAGTCTTAATGGATAAAGTTTCCAACTTTATCCGTTGAGACATCACTCTAAGATCTCAGCCCAAAGTCCTTAATGATAACTTTAACGCATGGAATAACCCATTAAGCACTTAATCCATGAAGTCTTCAATCTAAATTTTCCAGAAAGACTTTAAGGACCCTAATAATCCCTAAAAATTCAAACTTCATGGACATGCATGCTCGATGCATTTCCTTTCCCAAATCTAGGTCAAAAGATGCAAAATGACTTAAGATCCTAGCAAAGTCCTTAAGCCACCACCAAAACCTAGATCTATAAGATATGATGCTCAATGGGACTTAAAGGAACCATAAAGTTGCAAACTTTATCTCTTCAAACCATACTAACCACATTAGAGGGACCAAATCATGACATAAAACCTAGATCTAAAGAGGAAAGCATAAAAAGATGGAAACTTGAGGATTTACCAAGAGTCCAGAAGATGCACACAAATGAGGGGTAAGATTGCTTGGGGAAACAAGGCACAACTTCTTCTCCTTCCTTCAAAACCACCAAAACTTGCAAGAATGAGCTCAAAAGCCTCAAGAGAGATAGGGTTTGGCCAAAGGGTCGTTTCGAGGTGATGGAGGCTGAGGGTGAGGGAAAACCTAGTCCTCACTTTCTTTAAATAGGGTCCAAGTCCAAAATAAGGGTTTTACATCTGGTGAGGTGTCACATCGTGACCCATAAAGTGTCACGTCTTGACACTCAAAAGTTCCCCCCGATGAACGCGGCCATGTCACTACATGACGGTGCATCCATTACGCCGTGAACTACACAAAAACCCCAAAATTGATTTACATTTACATACCTCAAGATCAGGATGTTACACAAGATCACGACAAGCACGAAGTCGTATACTAATGCACACGCATGCAAGATGATGTAATAGGATATTACTAATGTAATGGAAATACTAGCAACAATGAAGGTTTCCGAACTCAATATTATTATTTCCTATTTTTCTAGGATAATTAACCTTGTCGCGCTCCATTTGATCTTCCTATAATGATCCTTCCGATCATCTCATGAAGCATATGGGTAAAACAAACAAAAGACACTTGCATCCGTATTTATGTACTAGCTACGATGGTTGCAACTTCCCTGGCTTCTTGAATGGAAATCAATAGGTTTGAACCTATCTACTAATGGTGGTGCTTGAACCTTCACTTGTTCTTTTATCCACCGATGGACCTTTAGTCGTAACTCTCGAAACACAAGTTGACTTTTATCGAAAACTATTGCTCCTTTCTAAATTGGGTCATAATCTCAACCCATGATGTAACACTCTGTTCCGAATTGACTCCTAGTCTGAGGTTGTGGCTCGAAGGCCGGTCATTGTAAGGATTATGGCTCTTGGAAAGGTAAGATCTAGGCCCATTTGGGTGCGGGTGATGTATTAGAGGTGATCCGGGTGTTCGGTTCGTGTTCTGGAAGCCTAGGGGTATTTCGGTAAGTGGCAGTTTGGGCTTTTGTGGAAAATGGATTTTTGTTCGGAAGGTCTTAAGAAAGGTTTGATTTGTTAGAAGTGTAGGGCTTCTCGTCACCTTTCCGTGGATATAAGGATCGTCGGAATCGGGCTTATAACGAAGAAGTTATGGCCTTCGGGAATTTCGTGGTTTTCAGGCTTAGCCGAGTACACGGGGCGTACACAAAGTGTACGCGGGGCGTACTAGCGAAGAAGGTAGTACGCTGGGCGTACTGACCAGGAGGGTCGTGAATGTTCCCCGGAGTACGCGGGGCGTACCATATGTACGTTGGGCGTACTCCATTCAGATCAGAACCCTATTTTAGGGTCTTGGACCCTATTTAAACTCCTTATCTCATAACCTAACCCTAATATCTTCAGCCTCCACCCCTCTAAACCCTAGAAATTGTCATATATCATCCATGGTGGCATTTTGAGCTTATGGAGTCCATTTTTGGGGTGTTTGATCCATTTTCAAGAAGATGGAGTTTGATGCAAAGATGGGAATCAAGGAGGAGCTTATGGATCTAGCTTTTAGGACTCATTCTCAGCTTGATGAAGGTATAAATCTTTGAACTTGATCATTCATCTCTTAGATCTACCATTTTGGGGTTTTGGTTCCTTTTTGGTCCCAAGGATGAAGTTTTATGGTTCAAATCCGATTCTTAAGCTTAGGGTTGCCACCCTTGGTGCTAACTGAGTCCCTAAGGCAGAAAGTTGCTATCTTGGAGGTCTTAATGGGTTCATGCAAGAGTTATGGTCACTTTTATGGAAGTATAATGCCATTTTTGGAGTTTAGGTTTGTTTGGGGCATGCAAAGTCACCAAGTCAGTGACTTTATGGGTTTAGAAGTTATGTATAGCTCAGATCTGTGTTTTGGACTTGTTGGATTAACTATTAAGCACTTAATGGATGTTGTGCATGAGCTGTTTGTACGATGGGCGTACTATGTAGTACGCTGCGCGTACATCCCATTTGCCCAGTACGTTAAGCGTACAGAAGAGGTACGCTGGGCGTACGCTCTCAGGAGGATTTGGGCCTTAGTGGACTTCGGACCTTTGGGCCCTAATGGTTTTGGGACTGGATTTGCTGATTATTAGGCCTGAATGTATCTTTGGGCCGATATGGGAATGGTTGGGCCAATTTGGCCTCGTGGCCCAATATAGATATGGACTTCACATTTGTGGGCCTCAGTTTGGGCCAATTCTTGGATTAGGTTGTTGTGGGCCTTCGTGGGCCAATTGGGGTCAGGATTATGGACTAAGGAGAATATTGGGCTTTAGTATAAGGTCCATTAAAAAGATCCGGGCCCAATTTGGAAAATTGGGCCATTGATGGTTTTATGGACATTATAGTGATGGGCTTTTGTTTTGGGTTTAGGCCTTAGTTTTGGATCATATTGGGCCAGGGGTAAAATGGTAATTTTACCCCATGCATGGATTAAGGATTATGGTATGGGACCCAATTGCTAATTGGGTATATTGATTGGTAGTGACAGCTCGGGAAGT